TATGGATGGGTGTTAGGAGGGGGTCTGTTATGGTTGTGCTAGATTATAAGGTAGAAAGATTTTTTAAAAACCCAATTAGTCAAGTTGTTATATTTCATTATAGTCAGATTACGGTTGACTCCGTAGTTATTTGCTGTTTTGAGAATATTTTAAAATAACACGGTGCTAGTGCTAACTAAAGTTAACCTCAGGAGTTGAGCAAAAGTGAAAATGTCTCAGTGATGAGTTTTTAGTACAAGAAACCCCTGTTTAACTGAGGTTACGAAAATGAATAACAGGCATTTCTACCTTACCAACGACTAGAAAACTTAAAAGAATGACTTCGGGGTGTTGTTTTCATTCAGTGCCCCTTTGTGTTTTCAATGCTTGTGTTTGCTACATACTGCACCCTCTGTGTGTGTCTGGCAGGAAACCCATAAAGAGAAGAAGCAGGCCAAGGTCAAGCCCATGTCGGCCTCAGACGAGAGGATGGTGGACACGGCCCTGGCACGCGCCAAGGAGCTGACCTCCCACATGATCGGTGACGCCCGCCAGAGCCCGCCCGTCAGCCCGTCCTCCCACGACAGGTCCGGCTTCTTCGACGAGGACTCCCCAGGGATTATCTCCAAGCTGAAGAACTCAATCCGACGCTCCACCTCGCCCAAGTCAGAGCGAAAGCGAACCTTCTCGGAGGAGCTGGAGAACAAGGCTGACCTTGACGCGGACATGACCCCAGAGGCTCAGCAGGCCTACAACATGCTGGTGGTGCGGGGCTCCGTCAAGGAGGGGCCTTCCTCTCCGACTGTGTCCTCCACCAGCTCCTCCTCCTCCCACCACCACGTCAGCGACTTTGTCAGCTCACTGGAAGCAGACTCCTCCAAACAGCAGGACTGGCGGGGCTATGGCAGTCGAACCAGGAACTTTCCAGAACCAGAAGCAACACCCTCCCCGGAGCCGGATCTGATCCGCGACTCCAAGCGCGGGGGCAGCCCCCCTAAGATATCTGCCCCGTTCAACGTGTCCTCCTCCTCCGCCCAGGCGGGTGCTGGCTCTGGCTGCGGTCCTCCCCCTCCCATCCCCTCCTCCCGGCCCCTCATCTCCGCCCCCCAGCTCCAGCCGAAACCAGTGGGTGTGTCCCAGCCCAAACCGGCCTCCCAGCCCGCCCCTGTCCCCGCCCCCCGCCCTGTAAAACAGCCGGAACCCCCCGGCAAGAAGTCGGAGATCCCCGTGCCCCGACCGCGCCCGGAGATCCAGAGAGTGGAGCCCACCGTCCGCCATCAAATGCCCGAGTCGCCAGAGATACCCGCCAAAAGCGAGAAGCGAATCGACACGCACATCCCCGTGCCTGCCTCCAGGAAAGAAGACTCGAAAGAACGAGAGAGGGAGGAACTCAAACGAACAATTGAAATCGTTCGCGTGGAGGACAGCAACAGCTATCTCCGCGGTGACGACAGCTTGGAGAAAGTGTCCACCTCGTTTGACCGCACGTCTGCCCGCTCGTCCCAGAGGTCTTCTCTCGATCGCTCGGACAACACATCGGAGAACGCCGAGTCGGAGCGCGCCGAGTGGGAGCACAGCGAGTACTCCTCGGACAGCAGCAAGCCAGGCCGCGACTCGGACTCGCGGGCCAACACGTCGCTCAGCTCGGTGGAGCGCAGAGACTCATTCAACAAGAAGCAGACGTCGCTGTTTGAGGAGGACTTCAGCGAGCCCTCCCCGCAGGAGATCATGAGCAAGCTGCGGGAGAGACGACTCAACCGACACCTGGACCACCAGCGGGCGCTTTCCGGCGACGGCGAAGCTTCTTCCTCAGCCTCCGCGGCGGGCAGCTCAGCCTCCAGCCGCCCACGGCCCACCGCCCGCGAACCTCAAGGTATCCCCGGGCGGACGGCCAGCGTGGATCAGGACGATGGCCGCGCGGACCAAGAGGAAGAGGAAGTGGACACCAACCCTCTGCGCATGCTGCGAGGCGGGGCTATTCCCATCCGGACGGCTGGCAGGGGCTCCGCAGGTACGGGTAATCACCGTGGCAACCGGGGGGCGACAGCTGCCGCCCTCCGCGTGCCTCGGCTTTATTTCTCCTCTAGTCATCTTTCCAGAACCAAGCCTGAAGGGGGCCAGGAACAGCTGACGGTGGGACCAGAGGCCTCCTCTACGCATGTCCTGACTGCTCAAGGTTCTCCACCCAGAGGTCACAGTTCAACACCTGGGGGTCAGAGTTCAACGTGTGTGAGCAGCAGCAGTGGGAGAGGATCGATGTCGGAGAGGGTCAAGGTCAAGGGGGAGGAGAGTACGGCCGAGTTCACCCGAGAGCTGGAGCGCTTGACCCACACGCTGATGGAGGGCGACCTTGGGGAGGTGGCGAGCCTGGTGCTGGCAGACACGCCCCTGGACAGGGGTCAGGGGGCACAGGGGGAGCTGAGGAAGTTCTCCGCCTCGGGCTGCCAGATGGATCTAAGCCAGGTCCTGCCGCCCACCCACGCCCACACCCACCCCCACCACTTGCCCACCACCTACTACCACAACGAGCAGAACAGGCCGGCGCCGGCCGTACCTCGGTCTTATGGCCGTGACGGTAAAGTGGAGAGTGTCGTCTCTCCGCCTCTAACCCCTTCCTGGTCTCAGTCTGGTGGGGGAGAGATATTGGAGAGTGTTTTTGCACCTCAAGCCCCAACTTGGTCCCGTTCTGGTGGTGGAGATAGAATAGATAGTATAATAGTAGAAGGTCAGATAGCTCCGAGTCAGCAGAGTCCCGTGGGCGATAATCGCGATGTCCCTCCCCGCCTCCCCCCTAGACGAAGCCAGTCGGTCAGCGAGGACCCGGAGAAGGAGATAAATTCCCACGTCTCTCGTCGGATGTTGCGAAGGAGTAATAGTTTAGAGGGTTCCGACTCCCCTCCCGCCCTGCCCCCTCGCGACCCGCAGCCCGCCGCTTGTCGCACGCCGCTCAACGCCAGGCCGAGAGAGAGGAAGCATCCTCTGTTAGTGAGACCGCCAGAAGCACCCTCCTCCGGCTCCCCCTCCCCTGTCTCTCCCTCCTGTCTTTCCTCTCCTCCCCCCACCTCTGCGACCTCCTCTTACAGTGTCCCTGGTTTCGCACCATCCACCGGGTGGTCAGACATTCACTCAGTGACCTCTAGTGCGGCTCCCTTGACCAGGTCAGTGACCACGTCCAGCTCCTCCGTGCCCCCTCACCCCCAGCGTGTCCGTCACCACACCTC